TTCTGAGACGTTGTTCTTTCATTAAAACACGTCTCTAGAGCCCTCTGCGGGCAGGGTCCTGTGGCCCCAAGGGGGCGGGGTGAGCCCCCAGCCCAGACTGCGAGGGGCATGTGGTTCAGGGAGGAGGACCGTCCACAGTTAGGTGGTTGGACAGGAGGGGGCCCAAGGTCTGAAGGGAGGGTGGGGGTGCAGCCCACTCACCAGGGCTTTGCCTCAAGGACAAGAATATGGTACTTTTTCTTCCTGAAAAGAGCGCATTGGAGATGCCGTCCACCGTGTATGTGTGTCGGTGGGGGAGGCGTGCAGGGAGCACCCAGTCCGTACATGTGCAGAGAGCCAGCTCGCCCTACATGAGCACACGAACAGTAGCTTCCACTACGGGTCTCTGCCAACTTTTTACTCTTCTGCCTTCGGTTTTTATGTTAATTTTTAATCATGTCCTACTTTATTGTGAAAGGACAAAGTTTGGGCAGGCCCAGCCGTCAAATGCCATGAACCAAGTAGGCACAGAAGTCTACACGAGCACATGTGTGAAAATGCCCTTCCCTCTGCCGTCCCGTCCCAATGAGGGCCTGGTTCGTGTCTGCCCTGCCTCCCTCGGGCGGCCACGGCTTCCAGTGGGCCACAGGACTGTGCTGTTCACAAGACCGGGCGTCCGGGGCCCTCTGTGCAGAGGGAGCATCAGGACGCACCTGCTGTGGTGCAGCTGTAGGTGGGAGGAGCAGACCCTGTGCCAGCTGCTGTGAGGTCTTGCATTAGAGAAAGGGATCTGTGCTCCTTCCCAGGGCTGGGAACTGCTCGTTTGCCCCGAATGGACTTCATATTTGAACGTAGAGTGATCTGGCTGGTATGTTCACATGCCACAGGGCCCGTGTCTTCCCTAATTCTCCACCGCTCAGCAGCAATTTCGTGAATTAGTGGCAGATTCCTACTTGGGAACAGTCATAGGCAGCGCATTTGGGGAAACACAAAACGGTCCGCTAGACAGCCGGCTTTTACCGCCCATGTCCTTTTAAAGTCATTGTCCGAGGCTGCCTTTGTCCAGCTTTTGTGCCTCCTGCTTGGTCTGCGTGAGGCCTGCGGCCTGCACCTGAGGACCTCTGGCCTTCCCACCTCCCCTCTCCCCTCAGATCATGGCAGTTGCAGGCCTGGATTCCAGTAAAGCCCAGAAGTACTCGCCGAGCCACTCAACCCGGTCATGGGCCACCCCTCCGGCGACTCCTCCGTACCGGGACTGGACACCGTGCTATGCACCCCTGATCCAGGTGGAGCGGCCAGAGGCCCTGGACCAGGTCAACGGCAGCCTGCCGTCCCTGCACCGAAGCTCCTGGTACACGGACGAGCCGGGCATCTCGTACCGAACTTTCACACCAGCCAGCCTGACTGTCCCCAGCAGCTTCCGCAACAAAAACAGTGACAAGCAGAGGAGCGCAGACAGCTTGGTGGAAGCAGTGAGTATGGCCCCCCCAGAGCGTGCCACAGATGGGCAGGCTCCGCCCGGCGGAGGGGGACCCGCTGGAGCAGCGGTGGTTGTGAGGGTGGGAGGCCCCAGAGCCCAGCTGTGTCGCTTTTTGTCCGATATTGCCCACTGCTCCAAAGCAAAGATGGGACGGACAGCACCAATATACAAATACCACCACTGCCAGTTCTCATGAAGGAGCTGTACCTAGGATTGCACGTGCTGTACCTGCAAATATTGCCAGCTTCTCCTGAAATCTTTTTCCCCAATGGGGCTTGTTCTTGTTGGGCCATATGTAGTGTTTGAAGTCTGTGATGTTTTCAAAGCCATTGACATTGAGCTATCACGTGTGAGGTCTAATGAACATAAAATCATGTCCTGCAGTTAGGGCTCGAGGTGGCTCCTTTGTCATTCCCCGCCCCACCCCCACCCCCAAAGCCTTGTAACACATTCACGCGATGCATTTGTCCCATACAGGTCCTGATATCCGAAGGTTTAGGACGGTATGCAAGGGACCCAAAATTTGTATCGGCCACAAAACACGAAATCGCCGATGCCTGTGACCTAACCATCGACGAGATGGAGAGTGCAGCCAGCAACCTGCTCAACGGGACTGTACATCCCCGGGCCAACGGGGGTGTGGGCCCCGTGTCACACCGGCAGGACTATGAGCTCCAGGACTTCGGGCCAGGCTACAGCGATGAAGAGCCCGACCCTGGAAGGGATGAGGAGGACCTGGCAGATGAAATGATATGCATCACCACCCTGTAGCCCCCCCAGGGAGGGGCAGACTGGCTCTGGCCTCAGGTGGGGCGCCAGAGGGCCAGGGAAAAAGTGCCTCATAGTTAGGAAAGTTTAGGCACTAGTGTGGAGTCCATATTCAATTAGACTTTTGTACAAGTGATGTCATGCCTCAAGGAAGCCATAAACCTGGTAGGGAACAGCCGCACACGTGTGCCCGGCTCCAGCTGTCGGAAGCAGCAGGTCCAGCCCTCTTGGCGAGGACCGGCGAGGAGGTCGGACAAGCCCAGCCCACTTGTCCAGAGTGTCCCCCCCAGGCGCTCACCCGCGCCCACCCACCTGCTGGCATGGTGGGGAAGGTTAAAGGTGATGACGATCACCACACCTGTGTCATTACCTCAGCCATTGGTCTAGCATATCAGACATTCACTGGGCCCAGCATATCCATTTTTAAACCCTCTTCCCCCAGATACACTGCTTCCTGGTTTCTGTTTAGCTGTTCTGAAATACAGTGTGTAAATCAGGACCTACCTACCAGCCGTCATCCTGAGAGGGGAGCAGGACCTTATCCACGAGGTTTTCTGTTATGTGACCCCAGTTTACAAGAGAGAGCGTCACTCAGTTGGTTTCTGACTGTCAGGTTAAGGGCAACTGTAAACTGGAATAATCATGCACTCGCAACCAGGTAAACTTAGATACGCTAGTTTGTTTAAAAATTATAGATTTACTGTACATGACTTGTAATATACTATAATTTGTATTTGTAAAGAGATGGTCTATATTTTGTAATTATTGTACCGTATTTGAACTGCAGCAATATCTATGGGTCCTAATAATGGTAGTTCCCCACCGAAATCTAGAAATTATTAGCATTTTTACTTGGGCTGTACAGAAGTAGAAGAAATAGAGCCAATTCTCCTTTATTAGTGAAAAATCTTTTGGGGATGACATTTTAAGTTCGAAAGAACTTGACACTACAGAGATTTTTCTAAAATATTTTGAGTTACTATAAATCTACCTTAACCCAAGATACACCAGATGACGATTTACAGTCTTGGCTTTGGGCAAGAGTGCTAGGATTTGATAGTGGACCTCTGGTCCACTGTGGGTTGCAACTTTTATTCTACTGACCCTTCGACAAGTTCATTACAGTAGGTCGAGCTGGTTACTCTGACCCTGTGGCGTTCACAGTGGTGGTTTCCTCAGCTGCCCCCACAAGGCATTTTTGAAGTTCCTCTGCCCTTCCTTGCTCCCTGGGGATGGCTACTGTGCTTGTCTTAAATAAGGAGTTGGGGCGGGGGAGGGGGAACGGGGAGGGGGGAGGCAAAGTGATCTGTGGGATGAGAACGTCAGAGGTGTCCACAAATCGTATTGTTGCCTTTTTACAAAACATTGCTGTACTGTGTGTTCTCTCCGAGGGCTTTTATATGCAACTGAATGAGGGCTGAAGTTTTCATTAGAACGTACTCACACCCCGATTGTACTTCCTGATGAAAACCCACTTTTGGACCATTAGACCCACCCAGGCTTCCTTTTCTTTTCAAAGAATTACGCCGTTTGTCAACTTTCCTTGGCAGGGATTCCCTGCAGTCAAAAATACAGGTAGCAGTTTTTGGTTCAAAATTTTTAAATATCACCTACATGACCTGTTAATGTTTTGGGTTTTTGTTTCGTTTTGTTTTATAAATAACAACACTTTGTTATGAAGACCTTACAAACCTCTTCTTAAGACATTCTTACTCCAGATCCAGGCAAAAACACTTCCAGGTTTGTAAATGACTATTTCCTGACATAATTTTTTTTTATTAAAACGCAAAATGTTCTTCAGAACAAAACTGTGTAAGAATTTTGTGTTAGGGAGCTCTCCTTGCAAAGACCTGGAGCAGGGCAGGGAGAGCCTCAGAAGGGGCAGGCACTCTGGCGAGGGCGGTTCTCTAACCGCATAACTTTGTGTTACCCTCACGGCTCCCTCCTCAATGCAGAAGGTAACACCAGCTGCCGAGAGCAGTTTCTCCTAAAGGGCTAACCCACTGTCCCCATCGTCTCCGCTGGGCATTACTACGACTTAGCAGCAGCCCAAACTGCCCTCCCAGGATGGGGTTTTTTTTGGTGCAGGCCACAATCTTTTCCAGTCAGTACTTAAAAACTAGCATTTTTATAAGCTGTACTGCTCTTAACAGGTCTGCTTTAAGCCTGGTTCAATCTCCTATCAACCATTAAGTTGTTCTTTGTAAAAAAAAACCAAAAAAACAACAACAAAAAAAAAACCAAAAAACTGAAGTTGTAGAGGATGTGTTATTTTTTCCTTTGCTTTAGAAAGTTTTAAGATTAAATGTCTCTCCTCTTTGGGCCCCCTCCCACCCCCTAAAAAATAGTACATTTGGTTTCTCACATGTTTTTCTTAATATCACAAATAGATATGTCAGCTTGGATTTAACTACCAATGAGCAGGATCCTCATTAAGCATTCTCTCTGGTTTCTATCCTGGCAGCCTGGCCAGACGGGGCTTTCTAGCTCTGTCTGGGAGTCTGCCCAAGCCTGGGAAGCTTCTTGGTACACAGGGCACACAGCATGGGCTTTACCTACCTTACTGCTGACCCCACGCTTATGAAAGCAACCAGGGCAGTTTATTTCACATTTTTTATGGTCTTTAGTGTCTTTGCCAACTGCCTGTTCTCCTACAAAGGTTTCCGCTGTTATGATGGCCGTTGGTTTGTTCTGAACACTGGTCAGCGACAGAGCTATCGTCTGGCACAGAGCTCCAGCTCCTACCAGACTCAAAAGCAGACACCAGCTGGGCTCTCATTGTTGACAAAATTTTTATTTCTCCAAAATAATATTCTTTCCTTCCTGGGGGCTTCAGAGGGCAGGCGAGAATAGGAGAATGGGGAGCAGGCCTGGGGCCCTTGCCTCCAACATGGGAGCACCAGCGAGAGTGGCCTTGCATCCCCTGTGGGGATGGTGGCAGGAGAGAGGGAATGGGAGACGGCCTGGGTCTCAGAACAGGGCTGGTGGAGACGGCATGTGTTTCCCTCTAGGTTTTAAGGGAAAAGGATGTAGATATTAGATCTGATGTTAAGTTGGCAGAAACAGGAAACGGCCTCTGTGGGGAGGAAAAGGGTTTGGCTGGAGAGAAGCTATCTGATTTTATGGAAATGAGGATTCCTACAGTTGGCCCGGAAGCAGACAGGCTGCACGTCTGGAAGCCAGGATCCGGCTTCCAGGACCTGCCATTCCTGGTCATGTTGCTGGCGAGCTGCTCGGTTTCCGTGCCGTCTGTCCTCCGTTCTACCAGGAAGAACCTTCTGTTGATGCAGCAGCTTGAACGCAGTCTTCTTCAAAGGGGTCCGTGCCTGGAGCCCATTCAGGTATATACACAGCTTCCTGTTACACTTTTTCAACCGTTTTTTGAAAAGTACATTCTTCTGTTTAGGTATCATGGGTGCTTTGCCAAGGGGCTTCAAGAAGATTCTCTCAGGGCTGAGTGCTGGCCTGGTCTCTGGGGGCCCCAAGGGATGCCTGACTGTGGCTCAGCCTCCCTAACCCGATAGGCACTTTTCTCCCCTCTCTGGCATCCCCAGCCAACAGCCCTCTTTCTGAGGCCGAAGGTTCCCTCATGGCAATGGAACCTTGAGATGGCCTATTATGACACGGGCCACTATTCCACTCCGCCAGACGGCTGCACGCGCCCCTGTCCTGGCTGGAGCGAGGAGCCACCTCAAAGCACACTATTCCATCTTGTGGCTGAACCCCGACAACACAGTGTTTCGCCTTGACTTCTGTGGGGCCTGGATACAGAACACTCGCGGTCCACTCTATTTCTGCATCTGGCTACACTGTATGATCATATGGGATGAGGCTCAGTGACCGAGAGCGGGAGAGGGGCCTAAATGTAATCCAGCCGTGCAAGATCACGTACCTCCTCTCACCTCTGCTTATCTTACAATACAGACACAGGAGGCAAAGCAGCCACTGCCCCAGAGACTGAGACCACCACAGAATAGAATGGCTGTGTCACCTGGCTTACCCGCACTAGACAAGGTCAGCACAGTCACAGGCAGGCCTGGACCCCTCCACCTACCCAACTTGTCACTCATTGGCCCTCAGAGCAGTGAGATTGGCAGCTTCCCTCCTCTAATCTTCCTTCACCCCTGCAGGCAGCTCCCAGGCCCTGAGGCTGACAGTTGTGGACCACGGCTGCGGGGGCACACGGGGACTTCCCTAGAAGAAATCAATCTCTTGGCAGATTTAGAACCTCCCTTGGGACAGAAAATGCAGCAAGATACAGGTAAGAGTAAACCAGAGCCACTTAAAATTTTTAAAGGAAGGAGAGGTGTCATGGTTTTCTTCTCTCCATCTTTCTGGAAGGTCTGTCTCACAAACACAAGTTGTGGCTGTCTGGCCTCCATGACACCTCGATCCACTCTGACCCCGGGGGGAAGCCTGGAACGCCCCCATTTTCTTCCCCTCCCTGTTCTGTGTCTAGCACAGCAGCTTTCCATGGAACAATCCTTTTCTCCCCTGCTGTGGGAAGTGGCCTTGGAGATCTTTAGAAAGATCCATCCAAAACACATTTATTTCCATTACCCTGTGAGAGCAGTCTGGCTAAGGCATCTCCATTCAAAAAGAAGTTACTGGATTACATTATTGGATTATAGGAAGTTTAAAGATCAAAGAACTATTTTAAATGCTTCTTGTATCTGCTCTCCGGCCCCCGCCCCCCCCCCACCCCAAATCTTGGCCAACTTATTTTTTCTTTCACTCAGTTGTACTTTTACAGGATCGGGTACCTAGTTTGACTTGACAACTTTTTCCATCAGCCTCAGCTCCATCCCAGTCGGGTCCTGTGGATGTCCGCAGAATACGAATTAGCCGTCTTTGTCCGCTGCGAGTCGCTTCCCCAGGCTGATGGGAAAGGGTCCTCTTGGGCTAGCTGCTTTGGCATGGAGCAGTGGTCTGGTCTGTGGGGTCTGCTCTGGATTTCTAGGTTTCCCTGGTAACAGGAAAATCTTTTAAAATGCTAAATCATGAAACCTATGGGAGTGAAGAGACTCTCCAGAAGCTTCTTTAGATCAAGGTCCAGAAATCTTCCCATTGGGCTGTGTTTAGTAAGAACCAGAGCACTGGCAAGGTGGGCCCTCAGAGTGGCCCAACTGGGAGTGGGATCGGGAAGCACGGGGGAAGACACTGTTTATCCCAGCAGGCAGCTTGCCCTCCAAACAGGGACACCGGAGGCTTACGCACAGGCCTCAGCTCCAGCGTGCAGCCTGAGGTGGGGGATGCCCCCACCCTGAGAACCCAGTGTGGTCTAGCCACCACCTAGCCTCTGGGCACAGCACCCTGCTCTTAGAGCGGCTCGCCTTAAGAGGGAGGCCTGAGAGGGAATCAGTTCCCTCAAGTCTGACCAGAACCTGGACTATTAAGACAAGGCCATGGCAGAAGTTAACCATCATCCTCCTTTGGCCTGTCCCTTGGTCCCCTCTGCTGCCCCTTCAGGAGGCAGGGGGAGGGGCCCGCAGGAAAATGCTGGGGGAAAGAAACCTGCTTTGCTGCCCTGATACTGGTCTCCCATCCTAAGAGATTAACCCATTCTCAGCCACTGAATCCTAACATTCTAGACAGTTTCAGGAAAGGGCACTGAGGGCAGGGACTCTGCTGACCCTCTTGGCTTGTCAGGAGGCTTCTCAGGCAGTGACTGCCTCAGCGCTGGGTGGCCAGACTTCCGGGCTTATAGACAGGGACGTCCTTGTCCTGGAGTGCAGGCTGCCCCTTGATGATGTCAGCTGCTTTCTCTGCGATCATGATGGTGGGGGCGTTAAGGTTGCCGCTGACCACACTGGGCATGATGGAGGCATCAACCACCCTGAGGTTTTCCACTCCAAGCACCCTGGTCTGTGGGTCCACCACGGCAGTGGGGTCAGAGGGCTGGCCCATCTTACAGGTGCACGAGGGGTGGTAGGCGCTGTCCGCTTTCGCCCGCACAAAGGCATCTATCTCTTTATCTGACTGCACGTGGCTTCCTGGCTGGAGCTCTTTCCCCCGGAACGGTTCTAGGGCTTTCTGAGCAAAAATTTCTCTGGTCAGCTTCACACACTGTCGGAAGTCCTTAATGTCGGCTTCTGTTGACGAGAAGAAATAGGTGAGGTGATTCCTTTTACCATGCTGGCTCTGCCAACGGATTCTGAGCACAGAGAGGCTCAGTAAGCTGCCCCAGGGGACACAGTTCAGGGACATGGAGCCACCAGACTGCCGGTCACCTACTCAGAGCCAGTTAGACTGCAACCAAGCAGCATCCCACGAAGGCAAACAGCACCCTAGGTGGACACAGCCTGCCCCGGGGGCCCTAGGTTTAACTTGGAGGTGAGACCGTACACCCTGCCTCCGCCAGTGTGGCTGTGAGCATGCTACGGGTCATTATCGAGCAAGACCTGCCCAGTGGGGAGTGCTGGGTTTTGCTGCATGCAAAGAGGCAGGCCCAGGAATGTAATCTGCTTCTGGACGAAACTCAGAGTAACGAGCAACAGTCTCTGTGAGCCCCAGTGTACACAGCCAGATCTCCTTGCACCTTCTGGCAGATTGTTCTGAAAGCAACAAACCTCTCCTGCTGTGTAAAAGGACATCCCAGGGTTACTTTAAGGGCCCCAGAGCACTACCTAGCAGCATGTGCCAAGTTTATAGCCTAGAATTGGGGAGGGGGGTGGGGGTGATGTGTCTCAGAAAATGTGGTCCAGGAGTAGGATTCAGAGATAAATGTAAACCCCATGAAGGCATTCATTCATTCATTCATTGAACAAATGACTCGGCAAGCCCAGGCCCGGGGGAGACAGAGGGGTTGGAGAATTACCTGTTGACAAGTAGTTGGGTTGAATCACCGGGTGGTCCCGGGGGTTGGCACTTCTCAGTTTGAGCCAGCCCACACTCGTGCCCCGCATGGTCCCCACATGCACCTAGAAGAACCAGAGGAAGCTATGACCTCCTTCAACTTTCTGAGTTAGTAGCTTAGGCCCTGGGGTTTCCTGTGGGCTGAGACTCCACATCCAAAGGCAATTAAGAGCAGACACATTTTAGTATTTGTTTGCATCTTACCCCCTTCCCCACTTCCACAAGTGATCACCTTGCTGAATCACTGCTGCTTCCTGGCTTTATACATGATGTCTTAAACTTCCAGGGGCTGGAAATCCCAGGGCCGTTGGCCTCATTTGTCTATTTCTGGCAGTCTAGATCCCTAGAGCATCTGCCCTCAGCTGGGCGCAGGTCTCCGCTTTCCACGTACCACACACACTGCCTCATGATGACTCCAGACTCCTTCTCTCCCCTCCGACCCACTGAGCAGCTGGGGGACAGGGCACAGGCTCCTGGGCCTCACCCCACCCCCACCCGAGGGCCCTGCTGCAGTGAGCAGAGCGCTGCTTGATGACAAGATGAAGCTGTCTGCTCACCTGGTAAGCTTCCTGCTGGGTGGGGACCCGTCCGTGGTCGATCACTTGGGATGGCAGGAAATGGAACTGGATGTCCGGGTGAGGGACCCCAGGCTGGCTCCGGATGAATCCGCCTGTTTCCAGATGGGCTGTGGCTCCATCCCCTGAGGATCAGAAGAGTGGATCAGGGCATGGCAGGCTACCCCCCCACCCTCACCCCTCCTGGCCTCTGTTCTGGTGCCTGGACCCATGTGCTCAACTCTGGCGTCTCTCCCTCAGGTGGGCTCACCCAACACCACAGGTTTTAACATCAGCTACATGCCAAGGGCCTTTCGGCTTTGCCACGCATCCCCCCCCCCCCCCCCCCGGCGTCCTCCACCACAGACCCAACTGTGAGGCCTGATGTGGCCCGGTATCCTGAACTTTCCCACCCCAGGCTCTACCCCTGACAGGCTGTTCTTTCATACAAGGCCTAAGTCAGACATTCGAGCTGTCCCTGCCTCCTCCTCTTCTTCGTCGCCCACCATCTGACCCTCAGAAAGCCTCACTGACTTCAGCTCCAAAATCTACTGGGATTCATCTACTTGGCAATACCCCCCCACCCCCTCCCTCGGCCCAGGCTGAGACCCCCTCCTCACTGGCAGCTCCAGTGGACTCCTTGCTGGTGTCCCGGCCTACCCTCATGATGGAGTCTCTTCCATCGCACCCCTGCTTTCTCTTCAACATGCTGCAGTCTCCCTGGCCCAACAGACTTGTTCTTCGAACACCAGATGCCTAGACCTGGGGCCTTTGTACATACTCTCCCTAGCTCTCAGATATACTCTGTCACCATTCTCTACTTTATTAACACCCTGATCTTAAAACTTAAGCATGTTTACGTGGTTTCTTTCCACTGACCCCACCAAAGTGTAAGCTCCCCAAGGGAACCTGCCTTATTGGCACAGCACACAGTACGTGGCAGGTGTGGGAGAAACACATGCTGAATACGATTTCAAAGCACCACTTCCTACCCGGGGGACTGCTCTGGGACTCCGAAACCAACAAACTGCTGAGAAATGGATGCTGAGTGTGCTTTTCCTCCAGGCTCCTTGGAGCCCAGAGGGTGTCCGGCATGAGGCCATCCCTGGCTATCTGTAAGGAAGAGTGGCACCCAGGTTCGGGAGTCTCACCCTGGACAGGCCCTGGGCCACCTCATCTGGTCCTCACAACAGCCTTCCAGGCAGGACTATGTATCCCCATCATGCAGATAGGAAAGCTGAGGCAGATGGTATAGCTAAGTTCTGAACAAGTGACTTGAAGCCAGAGCCCTTGCTCAGCACCTTAGGAAGGAGGCTGTGCTGACCACAGACCAGTTCTACTATGGTCCCAGACCAGCACACCCACCTGTGAACTTCCAGAGCCACTCTAGACCAATCCGGACTTTCCTCAAGGGCTTCTGTGCTGAATGGAGAGTGATGGGGAGGGTACATGCCTGCTGGACGTATATCTCCAGGTGGTCTTGCAGGTTCTGGCCAACTCCTGAAATGGGAGGGAATGGTTAGGAAAGATGGCTTCCAAGAGGGGCTTATTAGCTATACCTGGCCTCTTGACTTCCCCTGGTTTTGAAAACGTCCCCTAAAGCTATCCACATACCTGCTGAGCCAGCTCCTGCTTATTCCTCAGGTTTCTGCTTAAAGGTTGCCTCCTGGGACGCCATCCCTACGCTCATTGCCAAGTCGAATCCTCTCATGCTGCCCAAGCCACCTGCCCTTATCACTCACTCCCGGGCAGTCCCTGTAACCATCCCGATGCCTTCCTGCCATGCAGCACCCTCCCTGAGGGTAGGGCCCAGGCATTCAGCAGGCACCACTCAGTAAGCTGTTGTCAGATGGACCGACGGCCCCACCTGCACCTCCAGGGAAGGAGGGAATCAGGGCTTGTCATGCTGGGCAGACACTGTCACAGGCCAGCACTTTCACAAACCTCTTCTGATAAAGCCTCAATACACAAAGGGTCATTTTGGGGCAGTTTGGGTTATAAGAGAGATAAGAAGCCCTAATGGGCATTAAAGACAGTTTGTAAGATAAATTTTAGGCTTGGAATAATTGTCTTAACATGAAAAGCATGCTCTGAAACACCGAGTTGGCTTCTTTAATGTCAGGGCTGCTGCTGAGTCCTGAGGACAGAAAACACACAGGCCTGGACCCCTCTCACCCTTGGGCTGCCCTGGTGACATATCCGAGCCTGGCCCAGTGGGCTTTTCAGGTGGAAGCTCGCTGCTAGAGGGGCATCACTTCTCAGTGGGACAGTAGGGCCAGGAAAGGGGAAAAACAACACAAAGACTGGGGTCCCTGGGATAGGGCTGTCCAGTGAGGCTCATGGGAAGAATGTGGCCGTTCTGAGGAAAGCTGACTGCTGCCCCCTCCCCAGCTCCACGCTAATGCACTTCAAGAAGCTGTTTTATTAGCAGAGGCCCCCTCTGAGAAGCAGCAGCAAAGGGAGCTCACCGGGAAGGTGGCACACCACCGGGATACCCAGTTTCCTGAGGTCGTCTGCGTTGCCGACACCCGAGAGCATGAGCAGCTGTGGAGAGTTGATGGCGCCCCCGCTCAGAATCACCTCCTTGCTGGCGTAAGCCTGGAAGAGGCAGAGGCACGCAGGTCACGCTTCCCGAAAAGCGAGACAGAACACCGAGAGCGTGGCCTTGGTGTGATGTCCCCGAGTGGTGGGTGGGGATCCCGTTCCCAGGCCCCAGAATAAGGAAGGGGATGCTCAGTGGGCCGCTCCATGAAGGGCACTCCACACATGCAGCTCCCGGGTGCGGGTGCAACACTGAAGCGCGCTTCACATGCTGATACGTTCTGCAACAGTCACGCTGTAACGATGGTCTTAACAACCAACGGGACTGTAGAGCCCCAGAAACTCCAACAAGCAGCTTCAATAAAGCAAGCAGTGAGTCAGATCTTCACATAGAGGCAGATCCTGACACACTGCTAAGTGGAGAACAGCATAGTGCTGGGGGCACTGGGTGGCTCAGCCAGTTAGGCATCTGGCTCTTGATTTTGGCTCAGTTCATGGGATCAAGCCCTGCATTGGGTTCTGTGCTGACATAATGGAGCCTTCTTGGGATTCTCTCTCTCTCTGCCCCTTCCCCTGCTTGCACATTTTCTCTCAAAAATAAATGAATACATATTTTTAAAAAGTATAGTGTTGAAATATGGATTATGATCACATTTGTGGTTTTTAAAGCCTTAGTACAAACCTATCAATTTCTCAAAAGGTATGGAAGGTTCTAGGAGCCTGCTCTGAGGTGGGGAGGGGCAGACAGAGGCTCACAGGAGCCACCATGGGCTCTCTGCAGGTGGCTGGACTGAGGGCTTCCTCACCTCTGAGACCCTGGGGACAAGAGCCCAACTGCTACCCACACTAAGCATGACCACTAGGGTGATTGCTCATTCCCTTCCATCTCGACTGCGCCAGCCTGGAAGTAACTCACTCACCCGGTGGCTCTGGCCATTCTTGACGTACTCCACACCCACTGCACGCGTGCCTTCAAACAGTACCCTGTTCACAAACGTCTGGGCCTCGGCGGTGAGGTTGGGGCGGCTCAGTGCTGGGTGCAGGTACGCACAGGCTGTGCTCCAGCGCTTGCCTGGCAGACAGAGCAAGGCGATCAGGCACAGCCCCTGCCCCTTTGCCTGATGTGGGGGTGGGAGGGTGGGGCTGGGGCTGAAGAAGGATGGAATGTGCCCTTCCCCTGGCAGGACAAGCTCTGCCTGCAAAGTAGGGCTAAAACCAAGTCTCTGCAGGACTGAAATCCACATCCATCTGGGGTGGAAAAACACCCTCCACTCCCAACAGGATGACCAGGAGCACCTAATACAAGGGGGGAAGAACTCTATAGAGGCAGGCAAGGGCCCTGGGTCAACCCAGGCCCTGCCTCTGTCCTGCTGTGTGCAAGGCACTTCAGTGCTCTTTGCCTCAGTTTCCTTATCTGTAAGTCTCTTTGGTCAAAGAGCTGACTCTCCACAACAGAGGCCAGAGGCCTAAAGGATGCCCGAGAGTCTGTCTCCAAGTCATTTCTCACTGGCTACGAATTGTATTCTGTGGCCTGTAGGGGGCGTGAGACCTCCGTCATCTCGGCCTCATACTAGCCCGTTTATCCTCACTTACTGACCATGATGGGGGCAGGGGGATGGGGCTGTGATGGGCAAAAGGAGGAACCAGGGAGATGGGGGACGGGAGCCTTGTGCTACCTTGGTGGATGGTCATGTCCATCCATCCGAAGCCTTCTTGCTGGAAGCCATTCATGTCCTCAGTGAGGGGGTAGCCAGCCTGCTGCGCCGCCTCCAGGAAGGCGCGGTGCAGCGCGTGGTTGGTCTTGCCCCGGGACACGTGTAGTGGCCCGTCGCCGCCGCGGTACCTGTTAGCACCCAGTTCGTGGCTCTGCGCCTTGCGGAAGTAGGGCAGGCAGTGCTCGTAGTCCCAGCCGGCCGCGCCTTCCCGCTGCCAGCGGTTGTAGTCCTCTGCGTGCCCGCGGATGTAGACCATGGCGTTGAGCGACGACGAGCCTCCCCAGACCCGGCCGCGCGGCCAGTACAGCACGCGGCCGTCGAGGCCTGGCTGCGGTTCCGTGTGGTAGCACCAGTTGTACCTGTCATCGCACAGGTTGGCCACGAGGGCCGCGGGCATGTGGATCTTCCACGAGAGCCGCTTGCTCCCGGCGAGCATGTCCTTGGGCCCGGCCTCCAGCAGCAGTACACGCCTGTCCGCGTCCTCGGTGAGCCGCCCGGCCAGCACGCAGCCCGCCGAGCCCGCACCCACCACCACGTGACTGTACTCGTCCCCAGTCCCGGGGCCCGCGCTGGCCAGAGCACGGACACTGGGGGGCCGCTGCCGCCCCAGGGCTCCCCATGGGCTCAGATGCCTTCTCCTCCAGCCTCGCAGGACACTCCACATGCTTCCAGCCCAAGTCCTCGTGCATCCACCAAAAGGAGTGTGATGACTCACTGTTCCTAAAACAGGAAAAGAAGCTTTAAAATTTTTAACTTGACATGCACTTGCAGAATCAGCCCAAAGCTGGGGCAGCTGCATCAGTGCCGCAAAGATGCCCACAGGCTCACCAAGTGCCCACCTCAGGCTGGGTGAGGAAGGCCTGGCAGGCAAGTCCCTGTGCTGGGGAACTAGAAGGAGGGAGCAGAGGTAGACACGGGAGATCAGTACTGTGAGATCCCTGCCAGGGCTGACAAACACAGGGCTGGGGGCACAGGAGAGAGGCTCCTCTCTAAACTTGAGAAGTAGGGTGGCCCCCAGAAAGGCCTCTCTGTGACATGTGTGCCTGAACCTAGACCTGGCAGGTGTCTGTCTATCTGCTGGAATGCAGGGGAGGTAAGGGCTTTCTAGGCTTGCACTCATTGTTCGCCCACCTAAGGCAGTTGCTGAGACCCTACCAGGCACCATTTCATCTCTAGCAGTACACAGAGAACAAGAATCTGCCCTCAAGACTGATGGGCTGGCCTAGGGAGACAGACAAGACTTCAGTAACTGAAGGAAGGGCAGAGTGAGGGGCTGGAGGCTGGAAAGCTCAGAGCCTCTGACCTGAGGGCCATGGGTGTCCTAGACGGCTTTTCAGCAGATGATGGGGTCAGAGCTACAATCTTCAAAGTTCACTCTGTGGAGTGCTGGAGTTCAAATAACCAAATGCCAATAGCTTCTGAAGGGGCCTTTCCCAACAATGTGCAAATTAATCCCAACACACTTAGTGCACAGAGGTGAAAAAGAACCAGGATATCCCACTCTACTGACACAAGAACATCTGAGAGAGCCCCACCCGAGACCTGCCCAAGACTGATGCCACAAGAGAGCTAAAGAGCCTCAAGAAAACCCTCCCCCCCCCCCCGCCCATGAGCCTGCCCCAAGTAACAACAGCAGCCTACCACTGGAGGCGGGCTAACAGGTAAGAGTGTAGAGAAAGAGCCAGACCCCCATTTACTCAGGCACAGGAGAAAGAAGCCCCAGGGCCTCCTGAAAGCCAGAACACTGAAGAGACTTCTAGCACTCCAGGCCCCATACTAGTGGGGGGTAGCAGTGCCCACCATTCAACTCCCAGCCGTGGCTCAACACTCCACACTGATGACCTGGTAGAATGAAGGCAGGTTCTTTTCTAGGCATTAATACTATTTACCTAGGTCACTACTGTCCTGTTACACATAAGGTCCAGCCATTTAACACAAATTTGAGAGACACAGATTAGGAGCAGGGGAAGACGGTGAAGGAGGAGGACCCTGAGCTCACCTCCTCCCACAGACACAGGGGGGCAACAAGTACACAGAATGCAGCTCACTCTGAAAACCACCTGAAGACTGGCAGACCAGCTATTCCACAGCTAATGACGTAAAGAGAAGGTCCTATCAAGAAGGGTGGGAGGGTCAGAGACATGGTCGGGAACCAAACCCCAGGCACACAGGCCACAAGTGGGGAGAATACCATCCCAGAGGAGGTCTGCTCCCTCCCTGAGGAGGTCCTCCCTGAGGAGCAAGGGGATCAAACCCCACACTGGGCATCCCCACCCTGGGGATGTGCCCCGGAAAGATGAGCCCCTATAATGTCTGGCTTTAAAAATCAGTAGGTTTAACTGTGGGAGAGCTGGAGGGCTATAGGAAACCAAGAGTCTGCTCTTAAAGGGCCAGTGCGCTACATCACTCAGTCTGAGACCCAACAGGAGAGCAGCAGTTTGAAAAGCACCTGGCTTAAATGTGAAGAAGATTCATTGACTAATTTTACCACGTTTGCTGAAAGGGCAGGAATCTGTAGGAGATTTCTCCAGAGATGGAAGTGCTGGTGACGCCATTTTTCTTGCCCTCCTTCAGCCTAGGTGGCTGGCTGCTTACAGGAGCCAGTTCTGATACTTTATCCACCTTGCTGGCATCGCTTGTCCCCCACCAGCATTCCCCTGTGGACCCACACCACCCACCCCACGTGCCCCAGCAGGTGTCCCTCCAAAGTGGCTCCTGCCCCAGCACACCTGGAAGGCAGCCTCGGCCAGGACTGGCACCATTCCAAAGTGACACCTGCCCTGGGGAAGCAGACAGCTGGCACCACACACCAGCACGCCTGCAGCGGCTACAGACGAGCCATTCAGCCAGCCACACCAGGGGCCAGTCCTGCCCATCATTACACCACACAAGTTGTGGCCCAGTCACAACAGGAGGGTGCAAGCAGCCCACACAGGGACACTCCTTGAGTGCCTGGTTCTGGTGACCAGGGGAGACTGCACTTCCGCACAGGGCCGTTACTTTTAAGACCGGGAGACATACCTACCCTACCTAATGCACAGAAACAAACACAGAGTCAAACAGAATGAGGACACAGAGGAATATGTTCCAAACAGAAGATGATGACAGGGCCTCAAAAAAAGAACTAAGCAAAGTGGAGATCGGCAATCTACCTGCTGAAGAATCCAAAGTAATGGTGATAAGGATGCTCACTTGACTTGTGAGAAGAGTAGAGGAGCTCAGAGAGAACATCAACGAGGAGACAGAAAATATAAAAAGGAACAAATCAGAGTGGACTAAAAGTAACTGAACAATAGAGGAAATCAACAGCAGATTAGAGGATGCAGAGGAACAGCTTGGCAATCTGGAACACAGGGTAGGGGAAAGCACCCAAGGTGAACAGCAAAAAGAAAAAGAATTTTTAATGAGGACAGATGAAGGGACCTCTGAGACAACATCAAGTGTACTAACACTAACCTCTTCACATTAAAGAGATCCCAGAAAGAGAAAAAGAGAGAGAGAGAGAGAGAGAGAGAGAGAGAGAGAGAGAGAGAGAGAATGGGGCAGAAAACTTATTTTAAGAAATAATAGCTGAAAATTCCCTTAACCTGGGGATGAAAACAGACATCCAGGTTCAGGAAGCACAAAAAGCCCCTAACACAATGGACCCAGGAGGTCTACACCAAGGCACATGATAATTAAAATGGCAGAAATTACAGAGAATCTTAAAAGCAGGAAGAGAAAAGCAAACAGCTACATAGAAGGAAAACCCCATTAGGGCTATCACCAGATTTTCAGCAGAAACTTTGCAAGAAGAAGAGAGGGATATGATATATTCAAAGGGCTGAAAGGAAGAAGCCTATAACCAAGAATACTTTATCTGGCAAAGTTATTGTTTAGAATTAAAGGGGAGATAGTTTTTCAGACAAACAAAAGTTGAAAATGTTCATCACCACTAAACCAACCTTACAAGAAATGTTAAAGGGATCTCTTTAAGAGGAAAAGAAAAGATCATAATTAGAAGAAAATTATGAAAGGAAACATAAAAAGTAAAGTAAATTTCACTGGTAAATTCACCAGTAAATTTCACTGGCAAAAGAAAACATAGTAATAACATAATCACTTAAAAAGCTAGTATGAAGGTAAAAGACAAAAGTAGTAAAATCAATTATACCTACAAAAATTAGTTAAGGGATACACAAAATAAAAAGATATAATATACAAAATAAAAAGATGTCATATACATTAAAACATGGAGGAGGAGAGTAAAAATGTAGTACTTTCAGAATATGTTCAAACTTAAATGACTGACTTAATATAGAGTGTTACATACAGAGGATGTCATACATGAGTCTTATAGTAACCACAAACCAAAAATGTGTAATAAGTATGCAAAAATAAAGACAAAGGAACAAAGGGCAACACTAAAAAAAGTCACCAAATCAGAATGGAAGAGAGCAAGAAGAAAGGAGTATAGAACAACTACAAAAAACAACCAGAAAACAATTTACAAAATGGTAATAAGTATATACCTATCAATAATTACTTTAAATGTAAATGGATAAATCCTTCAATCAAAAGACACAGGATGACTGAATGAATACAAAAATAAGACCCATCTATATGCTGTCTATGAAAGACTCGCTTCAGACCTAAAGACACATAGACACAAGCAGATTCAAAGTGAAGAAGTGGAAAAAGATATTGGAAGCAAAAAAAAAAAAAACTCAGGTCATGATCTCACAGTCTGTGGGTTCAAGCCCTGCATCGGGCTCTGTGCCAAAAGTACAGAGCCTGCTTGGGATTCTGTCTCCCTCTCTCTCTTTGCCCCTTGCCCCCTCACACCCTCTCTCTTTCTAAAATAAATAAACATTAAAATAAAGACTGTAACAAGAGATACATAATGATAAAGTGATCAATACAAGAGAATATAACAATTGTAAATATCTGCGCACCCAACATAGGAGGACCTAAACATATGAAACAAATATGAGCAGACTTACAGGGAGAAATTGATAGTAATACAATAATAGTAGAGGAGTTTAAAATCCCACTTCAAGACTAGATAGATCATCCATGCAAAAAAATCAATAAGGAAACAGTAGTTTAGAATGGAAATTAAGACCAGATAGACTTAACAGATATATACAGAACATCCCATCCCAAAACAACAGAATATACATTCTTTAAAAGTGCACATGTAATGTTCTCCAAAATAGCTCTCATGTTAGGCCAAAATACAAGTTTCAATAAATTTTAAAAGCATGAAATCGTATCAAGCATCTTTTCCAACCACGATGGTATGAAACTAGAAATCAATTACTAGAAAAAAATGCAAACACACAGAAACTAAACAACATGCTACTAAACAACCAATAGGTCAATGAAGAAATAAAGGAGGAAATTTAAAAATACCTAGAGACAGGGGCACCTGGGTGGCTCAGTCGGTTGGGCGGCCGACTTCGGCTCAGGTCATGATCTCGCGGTCCATGAGTTCGAGCCCCGCGTCGGGCTCCGTGCTGACAGCTCAGAGCCTGGAGCCTGTTTCAGATTCTGTGTCTCCCTCTCTCTGACCCTCCCCCGTTCATGCTTTGTCTCTCTCTGTCTCAAAAATAAATAAACGTTAAAAAAATAAAAATAAAAAAATACCTAGAGACGAATGAAAATAGAAACACAATGGTTCAAAATCTTTGGGACTTAGCAAAAGTAGTTCTAAGAGAGAAATTTATAATGATACAGTC